CTCTACTATACGTTGTCATTTGTGCTCCACTTCATGTCAAGTTAGTTCAGCGATCATTTCGGGTTTCCCTTTCATTTTCCTCTTTTTTGTTTCTAACATGTAGCACTACTAAGATCCTCATTTGTTGGGCTGCAGACGTATTGTGTGTTGGAAAAAGGCTACTTTTGTTTCACAACCACCTGCCTTCACCTCCTCCTCGTCCTCACGGCAGACAGTTTCGTTTCGCTTCCTGTTTTAGACCACCACCACCACCACTTGTCTGTTCCCCATGGACCGACCGACTGTTAACCATCATTCCATCAGCATGGCAGATGTTCCTCCTCTTCTTTTGCATGACCTCGCATATTACTTAGGTAAGGAATATGTGTATTTCACCCCCCTTCCTCCTATGCCTTTTATATCCTTTTCTTCTCATGTCCTCCCTTTTTATGTTTCACATCGAAACTGCTTTCCATATTTATGGGTGTTTCTCTCCCACTTATTTCTCCCTAGCTTCTTTTATTTATTCCTCGCTGCTTATCTCTGTGCTTTGCACTGTCGTCAACCCTTTCTCCTACTTACCTCTTTTTACTATGCCTTATCACTTATGCCCACTGTGTGGTGTAATTCCACTTTTTTCCCAATTTCCTTCTTATTATTATTATAATTGCCGTGAGAGGAGCATTCCTCTGCTATGTGGTCTGTTTTCTGCACCTACTGCACACTTCCAACCGTGGGGCAGGATGACATTGACAAGTGGACTTCTTTTTCCCCCATTCCCTTTCTAATTCTGGTGAATTTCTTCTTCACTCAAGGATGTTTGGTCTTATCATAACCCAAACAAGTGGAGCTAATCCCTTCATTCCGTTTCACCATATTACTACTACTATCCACTGGTAAATCACACTGCAAATGTGCAGTCCATGAGATGTAACTCCACTATCCTACCATTGTCTGCTAGTTGGACGTCGTCATATCTCCTCTCCAACCCAACTCAACTCATCCCTCCACTATTTGGCCGTCCAGTGGATGGATCAGCAGGTTGTGGCTTCCTGGTAGGATATTGTGGGTTCCTTCCTCTTCCACGACTTGGATTAGCCAGTCCACTCTTCCGAGTAATAATTGGCAGTAGCCGCATCAGTTGTGCTGTGCAAATCCTTGCCGCAATCGGCGGCCT